CTGGGGGTGAGGGTGGGAAGGGGGGAGCGGGCGTGTGGGGCAGGGCTGTGGGGAGTCGGCCGGGGGTGTGTGTGGGGGGAAGGACTTCCCCGGGCCGGGGCCGCGGCGGTGGTGGTGGGACGGAGCTAATCTTAGCCTCGCTAACCTTGGCTTGTGTCCCTGCAAGGAGCCAGGGGGATCCGCCATACGGCCGCCGAGCAGCACCTGCGGTGGGCGTCCGTGCTTTAGGCTGGGGGCGGGGGGTGGGGGTGGGGGGGACGGCGCCCGCTCCGTTCCCTCTCGCCTGTGCGGAGAGCGGTGGATGAAACCGGCTCCTCTTGCAAGGGAAAGTCGGCGGCATGTGGATCGTGGAGGGCCTGCCAAAGCCTATTCTGCTTGGTGGAGTCGTTTGTACTTGGAACCCGGAGACGGCCGGGTTAGGAGCGTGTTCTGGTTTTCACCCGTCTCTAGTTCAGCTGTTTCTCTTTGGCATCAGCTGCAGAAGTTTATTTGGTGTGAGGCTTTGTGGAGTCTTTTGAAAGTGGATATACTCAAATAGTCTCGAAATTGTTATTGTGAAACTGTTGGGGTGTGGTTGAGCAGGTGGTTCCGTTGTCCTGGTGCTTTTAACCTCAATGCAAATTCTGTCATATGTAAATAGCATTTTGTTTTGCTGTTTAAATTCACATAAAGTTGTAACGTACCCAAACAACGTGCGAAATTCCTGGGCGCTGCCTTGCTGTACTTTCCATCTGGGTTAATGTTCCTGCGAACATGTTCTGTTCGGGTTTTTGCTAGAATGAGAAGTGTTTGACAAAGGCGTTTATTTTAGCCGTCCTTGTCATTCGTAGCAGTGGGTTCCCTGCATGTGGTACTCAGAGGAGCGCTGGTCTAATTTAGAAACAAATCGTTTCTATTTCAAGTTTTTAAGAGAACAGTCTCATTAACATTCAAATTCCCACTCAGATCTGGTTGCGGGAAGGAGTAAAATGAGTCTTACTGCCAAGTCTGATGCAGGCGATCCTCTGTAGCTGTCTGTGAAACGCAGCCGTTAGGGTTATTACTGCCTTTTCAGGCTCTTAGTTTGGACCTTGCTGATGGTCCCTGCAATCTGAGTGGGAGACTGGGACTGTTCCGAGATCAAGCAGAAAGACGTAGGAAGCTGAGGGGAAAAAAAAGGGGAACTGAAAAACTCTCTGCAGGTTTCTGGGAGATCTGGGGAGAGAGCTTTGGTCTCATGAGCCCCAGCTTACTTCGTTGTTTTGGGGACTAGTGTAATATCCATCCTCTTCCTGCTTTTTGCAGCGCTTACAACAAAAAAGGTCTCTATCTTTAAACAGAAATGGTGCTGGGATGCTGTGGGACCTGATTCCAAGCATGCAGTCTAGAAAATCAAAGATGAGCACTTTTAAACTAGCAGAGGCTATCAGAGCATTGCTGTTTAAAGTAAATGAATTAAGTGCATTTTAAGATTTCCTGTTGTTGTTACACATTCATTGATCTGACTGTGTCTAATTGCTAATTAATAACAACTGTAGGCACAGTGTGTGGTCTTTGAAATGAGCTGGCAGTGCTGACTGACTGAGAGATGCTATTGGAGAGTCACTTTTATAGTGGAATATCTCTGCTTGCAAAACTTGCTCATCTGAACAGCTTGGCCAGATGTGAACTTGCTGCTGCGTCAGCTGTTCCTGCTACAAGCAAGAAAGTCTAGAACCTCACCTTCAAAGTTATTTTTTCCTTGTAAGAGTATTCACTTTCTTTATACAGAAGATGGCAAGATCAGGCACAGGTTTATTTCTCTCTCTGGTCTGACCCTGATAGCGTTTTTAAATTGTTCATGGAAGTTGGGCATTCCTGGAGGTGTGATGTAACAGAATCGGTAAGGATTTTTTGCAATGTTTGATTTTTCTTTTTTTTTCAGTGAAAATGAAGAATTTGTATATTTTTATTGCTGTCCTATTCATCCCATGGAGTTTTTCTTTGGCAAAGTATGATGAGTTTGAGGATGGAGATGACATTATGGAATATGATGATAATGACTTTGCTGAATTTGAAGATGTTAATGAAGATGCAGTCACAGAGTCTCCTCAGAGGATCATCACTACAGAAGACGATGAAGAAGAAGCCACTATAGAGCTTGAAGGTCAGGATGAGAACCAGGAAGACTTTGATGATGCAGATGCACAGGTAATGCCTCATCTCCTTTCTCTATGTGTTTCCTAATACTATATCTACACCTTTCTTTCTCACCTTATCTTTTTGGATTTTGCTCACCAGGCTTTGGATTTTCATGCTGTTTGTGATTCTGTCCTTTAGGAAGGTGATACTGAGAGTGAACCGTATGATGATGAGGAGTTTGAAGGCTATGAAGAGAAACCTGATGCATCTCATAGCAAAAATAAAGACCCCATAACAATAGTTAATGTGGGTATAAATGTTGATCTGCTTTCTATTTGGTGTTTCATCACTTTATTTTTTTAAGGTGGTATGCCAATAATGTCATTAGTGTAAAAAAGTATACGTAAGAGAGAATCTGTCCTAAAGAATTTGCTATTTGAATTAACAAGAGACAGTGCAGAAATGTGACGAAGTGTGGAGATGAGAAATACCTGAAATAATGCAACAGGATAGCAGCAGAATACGATCCAGGTGTGCCAGGTCCCAATTCCATGCTCTTCTGTATTGGTGTTTGCTACTCTAAATAGCAAGTCTTGAAGTAAAACTTCCAGGGCAGGTGCCTTTGGTCTGTTGATCTCTTATTTTAAGCTGCTAGAACTCCCATCCTTGGATCAATGCTGTATTCTGTATTCAAACTGAGAATTGGGACTGGAGTATAGATCAGGACATTCTTCATTAAAACAGTCCTTTTGAAACATAGTTTTGACCAAAGCATTTTATGACTTAGCTTCTTTTACCCATATGACTATGGGGGAGAAGTAGAGGAGCTAGAGTGATGACCGTCATTTAATCCAGAGAAAAAACATACATCCCAGAATGTCCGGGTGCTTTGTCAACACATAAAGAAGAGGTTGCAATGATGGTATGCTTACAATAAACATAGTGTATTTTTAGCTTGTCTATGGCTAAAGTTTCAGATTAGAAATTGACTCCTCTGATTGTTTTTGAAGCCAGTCTTTCTGTCCACCCTGTATCACCTTCTTGTTGCCTCCCAAGAGAGTCTTTTACAGAATGATCACGTGCTTGAGGCCTGCATTTTTATTATTCCTAAGATCTCTTTTTAAGTATTATGGCTGACCTGGGTAGTGAAAATTAAGGTTTGGGGACTTTTTTGACTCAAGGGTGATACAGCATAGCAGAATGGCTAGTTAATCTCTAAAGATGGCTTCCCCGCTCCCCCATGCAGCCTGTGGCTCTTGGTGGCATCCTGAATATGCTCCCGGACATTGGGTATTACTTTATCATGTAACTTCTGTTGCAATCTATCTGATAATGCTGTGATGGGCAGGGCATCAAGCTCAAATAATCAGTGGCTGAAATGCTGGGCTGTTGACTACTCTTGTGGGATACATGCTAGCATGGGCTCACTTGGAAGAGAGAAGTATTTTGTTTGTATTAGCCAGGTATTTTGGCAATGCTATCATCAGTTGTTTCCTGCATGACTACTGTGTCCCAGTAGAGCCAAAAGCATTATGTAGGCTTAGCTCTGTCCTGTCGCCTTTGTGAAGCTTCTCCAGTACTCTGTGTTTTCCAAATTGTTTGTGTATATGGAATCTGTTCATTCAGTATGTAAAAGACAGTCTCCATTCACTTACCATAGGTCCCTGCTCACCTTCAAAACAGCTGGGAGAGTTACTACATGGAGATACTGATGGTAACGGGTCTTCTTGCTTACATCATGAATTACATCATTGGGAAGAACAAAAACAACCGTCTGGCTCATGCATGGTTCAATACTCACAGGGAGCTGCTAGAAAGTAACTTTGCTCTTGTTGGTGAGTTCCATAATGACTAGGATCCATTGTTAGTTTATTTGAATAATGTGGGTTTTAAACTGGCATGTAGGCTATAGAGAAGAGTAACCTTTTCTATGCAGATGCATGGTAGTACTAATGACAGCTGTGTGTGTAGACAATTAGTGTGCCAGTCTCACAGTGCTGAAATTAGGTTATAGTGGTGTTATATAAATTATTCAGAAACATCACAGTGATACTGAAGTAATCCAGCAACAACTGAGTTCTAAGCCTACTGCTGAACTTTGGTGTTTAAACTTGTGATTTTTAGATTGTAGTTCTCTTTCACTGTTGTTTCCTTCAGGGGATGATGGTACTAATAAAGAAGCTACAAGCACTGGGAAACTAAATCAAGAAAATGAACACATATATAACTTGTGGTGCTCTGGAAGGGTGTGCTGTGAAGGAATGCTCATCCAGCTAAAGGTAAGGAAGAGGGAGTTTGTAGTACTGTTTACCTGTCACCAGTTTTCAGGTTCTAGAGGCTTTTCCATTCCAGTGCGAGCAACAAGGAGTCTCAGCTTGACTTTTTTGCCCACATTCAGATACAGGGTACTGAATGTGCACACATGAAGGGAAGACTGGTCGGACTAAAGATCTGTACAGGCCTGTATTCTGCCCACCCAAGTAGGTAAGAGTGAACGCTTACAGAAAGGGTATAGAAACCAGAAGTATAGTGTAAACAAAGGTAACTGTAGGCTGAAGAGCCCAGCTGTCATTTAGAGGGACTTTAGCATATTGGAGGAATGAACCAAGAGGATTCCAAGGAAGTACAACAAAGACAAATACAAAGTCCTGCACGTGGGATGGGACAGCCCCGCATGCTGGTTCAGCTCCTAACTTGAGGGAATAAGGCCCTGAGAAACTCAACTAATGCAGAAAGTAGGCCTGCTTTTGAGCAGCATAGGTGACTTCCAAAGGGCCCTTCAAAGTTAAATTATTCTCTGAAAAACATCTACTTATAACTGTCCTATTTTTCCTTAAGCCCCACTGCTATCTGCCAATGAAGTACTGCATTCTAGGTATATTCAGCTATCCTCTTTGTTTATAAACTTGTGTTTTTAGTTTCTCAAGAGACAAGACCTACTGAACGTTCTTGCACGCATGATGAGGCCAGCTTCTGACCAAGTGGTATGTACTCAGCCCTTTAGATTAGCTGTGATAAATTGTTGCATTCCTTCGTTTCTTTTGATTGTTCTCATGACACACGAGTGAACTGCCAGGTGTCTTTCTATAGTATTCCATATCTTCCAGTTCAGTAACTGTCAAAACAATCTGAAAGAATAATTCGTATTTCTTTTCTGCCTGTGAAATGTACACTGCTGATAACTGGAAATTGTTTTATCTATGGGTTTTATTGTTTGAGTGGTTTTGTGAATAGTCTGTCATGCTTCAAGACCTCATCTTGATAAAAAGTGGTTTTACAATCTGAAATACTTAATGATTGTTCTTCTGTCTGTTCAGGCAGACTGAACAGAGCGCTTACTGTGTATGCTGGCCTGGATATTGTATCTTGTAATGTTACTTTTTTGCCTTGCCCCTTGCTCTTGGATATGAGGGTAATCTCTAACTGCATAAATACCAAGAGAGGCTACCTTTGGAAGAACAGTGGCTGTGTGCACAGTGAATACTCTTTCCATGTATCTATAATTGTATTTACTTGTATCTATTAAAAATATTTAATTTAGATGTGGGCAGTTGCTCATAAGCAATGGATAGCTGCAGTGCAAGTGAGTCTTACAACTCTGTTCTAGTCACCGTCATTACACTATAGCATTATACCAGAATACTGAATTGAGTACTCAATATAATTAAAAAGCTACCTTACCTTAAGACACACTAAGAAGCTTTATATCAATAACCTTTTTCTTAGCTGTGTATAGCCTCGATTAGTCTTTCTTCTTATGAATCAGTGTCAGACAAACATTGAAGTCATATTTGGTCAGTAGTCTGAAGGCAGAGTACGTCGTATACATCTGATCAGGGCTAATAACATTCTGTCCCGCAGCAAATAAAAGTAACAATGAATGATGAAGATATGGACACTTATGTGTTTGCTGTTGGAACGAGAAAAGCACTGGTGCGACTTCAGAAGGAGATGCAGGACTTGGTATGTATGTTCACGCTGGGAATATTAACATGATAAATAATAGCATATAAGAACCTCTAGTCTGTAGATTGCTTATTTTCTTGGGAACAGCTGAAAACTTGTGACTGACCTGTTGGAATTAGTGTGTGGGGAAAAGACATTTTTGTCTGATGGATGAAAGTCTAATGCCATCAAACATCTGAAGTTCTAGCCAGCTGCTGTCAGAACTGCAAGAAAAGAGACAATCGAAGGCAGCTTACATCTTCCTTTTGGTGTATAGCTCATTTAAGAGAAGGCTGAAGTATATCGTCAGGATACACACCAGTGTCACTTCACCTCATTTAATTTGCACTAATGACTTTTTCAAGGATTGAAAAGTAAACTTAATTAGTGATATGTGATGTGGAAAGTTTGGGTCTAAGTCCTCTGCTTTTATGTGATCCAAAGTTAAAACTTTCCATATATTCAAGCCCTGAAGCTTGGAAAGAATCCAGTGATAACAAGCAGTAGTTTGCAAATCTTTTCTCTCATAACTTGTCTCAAGTAACAAGTCTGAAGTGTGGTTGGTAGGATGCCAGTTGTTTTTGTTCTGTTATGAAACAATGCAAGCAAAATGCCTTAATCCACTTTGAGCATTCCAGCATGGATGTATTAGAACCATTTTATCTTTTTCCTTAAAGTACTGACTATTGAAGGGAAATACTAACTTAAAGACTACTGATACTGCATGCTTTGCTTTATGCTTGAAATGTCCCCAGTCAGACTGGGTGACCGAGTGTATTTTTTATTGTTTCTTTTCAGGTACTTTTAGGGGTACCATTGTGCTGTATCAGTTCAGTCTGATAAGATACTTAGAAGCCTCTGTTTTTATTTCTTTCCCTTTGTTCTCTTTGAAACAGAGTGAGTTCTGCAGTGATAAGCCTAAGTCTGGTGCAAAATACGGGCTTCCAGATTCGCTGGCTATCTTGTCAGAGATGGGGGAGGTCACAGAGGGAATGATGGACGCTAAGGTAATCTTGAATGAATTAGTACAAATCTTCCTTGGTAACCCTGGCACCTGCAGCCTATGCAAAAAAGTTCTAATCTTTATCTCCTGTAAATATCACAACAGGAGAGCCAAACAGCCCTAGTGAGATCTAGAGAAGTCAAGACCCTAGGGAAGCGTAAGGGCTGGAAGAAGGATGTTATTCTCACGTTTATTCCTTTTACATAGCAACTGTTAGTCTAACATGAACTGCAGACTTAAAACTGCCTTTCAGAGCCTGGAAGTTAGCTTCAATGGCCAGTTCGAAGGAGGGTGTTGATGGTATGTCTGCAGGTCCTCAGAGCTGACATGTTATCAAATGAATTGGAAAATCCCAAATAAGAGTTATATAGTATCTGAGTTGCTCACATTAATTCCATGCATTGAAGCCCATTCTAGCAAAAGCTAAAAAAAAAAATTGACAGTTTAAATTACAGAGTCATTGTGGCAAGCTGAGCACAGCAATTTTCTAAGTGATATATGGACTCTTTGGCAAACCCATATGGAGTGGGTAGGCTGCAGATGGATCGGTGTTGGGAAAAACTAACCCCAGTTTCTCTTTTAGATGATACATTTCCTCACACACTATGCTGACAAGATTGAGTCCGTCCAATTCTCGGACCAGTTCTCCGGTCCAAAACTTATGCAAGAGTACGTATAAAGCTAGATCTCTCTTCCCAGTAGCTATTGTAAAACTAAGCAAAATAGAGGCTGACAAACTTGTTTGCAGTGTGAAGCCTGCTGGAATGTACACAAAGAGAAATTGGGAGCTAAGGTAAAACAGGTGAATACTTGCACTCCCAATGCTTCCAAATGCTGCATTAGTTTAGAAGATCAAGGTGCTGTATTACCTTAATATTTATTTTTGTGTGCTGGTTATGCTGTAGTTTGGGCAGCTACAAATTTCAGATAACATCTGGCAGCTAGTGTACACGGCTGCATGGAAAGCAACTGAGTAATCCCACTAAAGGTATAGGGCGTGTTAGAGTTTAAGGGCCAAGAAATAACACTGCAGGAGGAGAATTCAACACATTAACTCAGATGCTATTTGGATGCATTAAGAACTAGGTTTAAGCAAAGTCTGCAGTGTGAAAAAAAAAAAAAAAAAAAAATCAAGGCTGCTTGCCCTTCCCTAGCTGATAATGTCTAAACCTTCTGTTGTTGAATCCATCGCTTGGGTACTTTTGTTCAGGTTGATTCTCAGCTGTGCTTCAGAAATACACAGATGCAGTACCTCTTCTGTTTCTCTAAGCCTCCTAGTCCTGAGGTGCTTTTAGCTGCTGCTTCAGAATTGCAAGTGGTGGGTGATTTCTCTTATCTGAATTACCATGTAGGTTTTTGCAAGGGTGTATTATGCTCACAGGCATATAAATAAGTGATCCGTATCAGAACTTGAAACTGTCCTCCAAAAAAGAACATACTTTGATTTAATTATAAGACAGCAGTATATGTACCTTTGTACTGAAATTGCTAGGCTTTGGAGGATCTGTGAAATGTAGGTCTGACTTTCTTACATTAGAATACCGTGGGGTTTGGGGCAGTGAAGACTTGAATTCTTTAGAAAATGTTTTGGTTTTTAGTTTTGTGTTTTGTTTTGTTTTTCCTAACTAGTATTTATAGAAGATCTGTAGTAGTATAAACAGCAGGGCATATGTAAAATGGAATGTCATTAAAAGTACACCAGCCTTCTTAGGGCTCAGATGCCAGAGCTCAGATGACTTCTGACAATCAGATTAGACGGTGCTGTTAGTATGTTTTTGCATTAATGCCTTTTCACTGCATGCTTTTGAGTAAAACACTTCAGGAATCTGAAAAATTTTAAACTTTAAATTTGGGTTACAGCCAGGCTTTTAATCTTGTTTATTTTATTCAAGTAGTTTGCAAGTGTCTCTTGGTTCTTGATGAGGTTTTCCCTAACAATGTTAGGTATTTTGTATGCCTGTATTTTTCTTCACTCATTTCAGCCACTTTTTTCTTTCCTACCAGGGAGGGTCAGCTTACAAAACTGCCCGAAACTAAAAAGACACTTTTGTTTACATTTAACGGTAGGAGAACTGGTGTACATGTGTGTACGTGTATCTGTGGGAGTGTTGTATTTGTGCAAGTCACATGCTCAAGTTCTGTCACCTATGGAAGACAATATATGATGAATTACTTCAGTGCATGTAACAGGATCATTGATTGGTTAACCAGTGAACAGAAGGCAGTACTAACACCGGGGACTGAGCAGCATATTGTCATAATAATAGGATACTCAATCTTGCTATTGTTGATCTTAGTTCATACTCATATGTCTACTGGTGGTTGTATTAGGTCATCATTGGAAGATGGCTAGTTTTTAAGTCACATGCCTTACGGTTTAGGCTTGCAGAGTTACTTGGTTAATCCTGGTTTGAAATAAAAACAGCCTGTTGGGAGGCTATTCTAGAAAAGGCCCATAGTTCTCTTCAAAATTCAAGGCCGTAGCTCCAAGTGAAGCTAATGTCAGAGCCTGAATTCGGCCCTTATGTTTGTATTCCGTACTAATAAAACTAAGAAGGATTGTGTGGGGGAAATGTGCCTGTCTCTGTCCTGAAGAGGACGATAATAACATCTTTCTTTCATGAATGGTGTGAGCAATAAGGAAGGAGGGTACAGCAAGTAGAAAAATCCTGCCAACCTCTCCGAATTAACAAGAAACTCTTTATTTCAGTGCCTGGTTCAGGCAACACTTCCCCAAAGGATATGGAGTCTTTGCTGCCTCTGATGAGCATGGTTATCTACTCTATTGACAAAGCAAAGAAGTTCCGTCTGAACAGAGAAGTAAGTAGTGTGTATTTTTCTGTCTTCTGAATATTGTATGAAATTGCAACCATTAATCTTACAATTGGGAGCCTTATGTTTCCAATATGACTACCAGAGATACTGCATCCTGCTCATGGGGAAATCTGTATTAACTGCGTTTGCTTTTCTCTGTGAAAAGGGTAAACAAAAAGCTGACAAGAACAGGGCTCGTGTGGAAGAGAACTTCCTTAAACTGACTCACGTGCAAAGGCAGGAGGCTGCCCAGTCCCGTCGAGAAGAGAAAAAACGGGCAGAGAAGGAGCGAATCATGAACGAAGAGGATCCTGAAAAGCAGCGTCGGCTGGAGGTGAGATGGATTTTCAGATTGTTACAAGCTACCGGCAAATTTCTCCTATGATACCGCCAGGGCTGCCTGTAGGTACACCAGCAATGGCCGACTTTTGATTTCTTATTTGCTGGAAGGCAGACAACTTTCAGGGTATATGCTGTTGCTTTCTGAAACATGCGAAGGCTCCCAGTGTGGAGCCAGCTCATGTGGTTAGAGATGTGAACCCAAGTACTGGAGGTGTTTTTTGTTTGGCTCTTCTGAAATGATCAGTTTGCTCTTTGAAGACATCATCAATATTCATTCAGATCTCTGTCCCTGCCTACAGGAAGCTGCTTTGCGGCGTGAGCAGAAGAAACTTGAGAAGAAGCAGATGAAGATGAAGCAAATCAAAGTGAAAGCTATGTGACTCCATAGTGAGAAGCGTCTCAGTGCCACCTGCAGAATTGTAATTCACAGGGTACAAAGACCTACTTAACTCCATAATCCTATGCTTCTTTGAACACTAGTAGCCATTAAGAGAAATGTTCCTTGCATTGGTGTTACTTATTTAAGTATTACAGCAACATGCAGGTGTATGTAGAGAGCTTTGTCTCGGCAGTTTTATTCCAGGTGGTATAAATTTTTGCTACTTGTCTGTTTAAAAAAAAATTGCAATATTCTTGAATGCTCTTTGTCATTTGTTCTTTAAAAACAGAAGATTGTAAACCTGTCCACGTGCGCTGGCAACATATTCATGCTTTGGTTTTAAACTTTGGTTTTAGTTATTGGGAGGGAAGGGAGAAAAATTTAAGGGGAGGAAAACTGCACAATAATCATTTACTGTGCATTTATTTGCATCAAGCTTGTAAAGGCACAAAACTTAAGAGCCTTCCATACACAGTATGGATTCTTCAGGGATTTAAGCCCAGTAGAATAGAAGTGATTTTTATTTTCTTTTTTTACAAACAAGGGACTGAAACAGTATTACGTCACCTGTGGGCGATTGGCATATGTATGAAACATATAGATGGGTTAGATACGAGGGAATGGAATACATGAACAGTTTCCTACTTGTGGTTTTGAATGCTGCAAGCTTAATACAATGTGAAGTTTGTAATGTCAGCGTGGTGTTCCTTCAGGAGTGAGCGCATGGTGAGTTAACAGCTTCAACTAGCCTTCCTTGAATATTTTTAACTGTACAAGTTTGCCTCAAACTTTTCTCTTGATCTCAGCAGCTGCTGCCTAGTTCACTTCAGCCAGAAGCTAGATTCAGTGAAGTATCTGCAATTGCCAATTTCCCCAAGCAAGTAAAAACGTTTCAGAGGACACATATCCTCTTCATCTGGTAAATGATCATTTCAGGTTTTTGAATATAAATGGGGAGAATGAAGTGAATGCCCTTGTGCAAGCACTTCGCTAACTGAGAGAGCTCTGCATTTTATAAATGCTTCCTGTCTAGAAGGAATTTTATTGTTGCTTTTAACAGTTTTGGGGGGAAAAATGTCTTGCATTTTCTTGTTCGATATTTTGTGCGAACTTGGTTCTGAGGCAATAAGAATGAGCTGCTGTTGAAACAGCAATTGCTTAAACTTCTTGTTCCAGCGTGGGATACTTCACACTGATTTAAATGCAAATGTCTGTAACCTGATACATGCAAATACTTTAATTTTATAATGGTTGGTAAAATTATTTAAAACCAAAACTAATGTCGATTATGTGAAATTTTAGCACTATTTAGCTTTAAAGATTAATACGGTATTGTTTCGCAAAGTTCTTTGAAAGGAAATACTAGTTTGTGCTCTTTCGAGTAAGTGGACAGCTTTCCTGAAGTCCCATACGTTTGTGGGCCATGGCAGCTAATTTTGTAATATGAACATTCAACTGAACAATCTAATGAAGAGTAAAATATAATTGAAACACTCCACCTGCCTACTTTACTTGGCTGCACTCTGCGTTCCTTTCATCTGGTAGAATCTCACAGCCTTGTTTGTCCTGGGTAGGTTTTTCAACACAGAGGGGCAGGCGTTATCTCTGCTACGATGAAATGATTCTTTCCCCTCGGGAGCCGCTCCCTGTGAGGGCGGTGGGTGCTGGGGCAGAGGGCCCGGAGCCGGAGGAAAGTGTCTCTCCCCTCGTGCAGGCCGGGGTGGGTGAGGATGGAGGATTTGCCCCCTGCCTTTAAGGGACGGGGCCGCGCAGGCACTGCAGCAGCACCGAGGGCGGGCAGGGCACCTTCCCCCGGTGCCCGAGCAGCGGCTGGGGGGGGCCGCTGGGACGAAGCCTCGACCGCTTTCTGAGGGAACCAACATGGCGCCGGCCGCTTCCCGCCGCTGGTAACGCGCGGGAACCTCGGGGGTGACGTCACGCGAGCGCCCGCATCACGTGGGGGCGTGCTGGCGTCACACGCGCAGCGTCTCCTGCCGGTAAGCGGCGGCCGCAGCCTGAGAGAACGGGTGAGGGGCCCGGCGGGGCGGGAGGGGAGGTCGCTGCCTTGCGGGGGCCGCCGCGGGCCTTCGGCGGTGCTTACCGGCCGGCCGAGCTCCGGTAGGGTCCTGCCGGCCTGGGGCTGCCCGGCGGCGGCGCTCGGTCCCGGGGTGAGGCGTGAGGGGGTGACCCGCTCTTGTGCCTGCAGGTTGCCGGTCCTTTAACGAGCTGCGTGAGGTAACACAAACGTGGATTCCATGTCTTTTCTTGTAAGTAAACCCGAACGGATTAGGGTGAGTGTTGAACACCTTCCAGCTTCCCTCAGACGCCGGCGTGTCGGTAGAGCCAGCCTTGCGCTTGTGCAGAGGAGCGGCGGCGGGGCCGGCCTCCTGGAAAGCACTTTAAAGTCACGTTAAAACGGGCTAATTATAGGGCAGGGTATCGATGTGCAAGCTAGGCGCTCGTGGAAAAAAAAACCAAACCCTGTGCTGAAGTATTTATTGCTTGCACACCTGTATCTCGTGTGTGTACGGTGCGAGGGGCTTGCAATGGGCGTTGCAATTAAGAAAAAGCGTGGTAATGATGACTTCTTTCTAACTTTCTTTACGAAGTTACTGCCTCACCTCTGTCACACCACCGACAGGTTATTTCTAAACTTAACTTTCTTGGAAAGCTAAACACAACAGCTTTGTTTGGTTCTGCATTTTTAAGTGAGGAAGTTTCATGTGAGAAAACCACTTTTAATGCCTTAAAACAGTATTGTTACGTATGAGTTTTGAGTCGTTGTCACCTAAAGACTCGTTGGTGCTTTCTAGGACTGCCTTCCCTTGCACTAAACAACATAAGCTATTTTTTTAGTTACTTTACCAAGTAGACAAATTCTAATGTGGGAGCGTTTGTGTTTATCTAATGTTAGCTTCATGATCAACACTCTGCAAGCCTAAAATTGCATATTCTATTGTGTGTTATGTGTGCTTGTATGTATCTTTCTTTGAATTACAGAGTTGAATAGAGTGGTGTAAACATTTCTCTGCACAAGCTAATGCTTGCTGTGAACTTTAAGCATGAATTCTGGAAGAGAACAATAGCTTTAAAATATCTATGTTCTAATTCTGCATTCAGTCAATAGATATGTAGCCAAAATATTTAAGTTCTCTAGGATGTCACCTCATTGTAAATAGTTGAAGTTTTTTGTTTACACCTGTTACACCCAAAAAACAACTTTTATTTGCCTGTATAAGGGAGTTTTAGCATGCTTATTAATTTTGCTGTATGTGCATGTGTAAAGGTTCATGTCTGAATGATGTAAAATTATGTGAACTTTATTGCAAGTGCATGCTGGTCAGGAAAAGCAGTAGCACCTGTGTGGTTGCTGGGTGTATGCCGTCTTAGTGGCACAAGAAGAGAATATCCTGTCCAAAGTAAGGATGTATCTCTGATGTTGCAGCTAATCAGTTTCAGACCATAGCAGAATCCTTGAAGTGTTACCATTCTTTTATGTTTTTTCTGGGGAAGGGGGAAAAGAAATTTGTCTCTAGATGGAATAACTAATTATCTGGGGGATTTTTTTTCTTATTTCAGCGGTGGGTGTCTGAAAAATTCATTGTTGAAGGCTTAAGGGAGTTTGAACTGTTTGGAGGTAAGTTTTCTGCTCGTTAGATGACGTTGTTAGAAATGTTTTATTTTAGCTGCAAGGTTTGCTAATTTGGTTGCAAATATGTATCTTAACAGCAAAAGAGATGAATAAATCTGGTTGTAGCACCGGATGTGGTTATTCAAGCTCGCTAACCATATAAAGTTAATATGGAGGTGTCCAAGATCTAGCAAGTTATTTGGAAATCAATTTCATGTTGATGGCAGTACTATTTTCAGACCCTGCGTTCTGTATTTCTTAGCATAACCACTTTTTTCCTATGCAAAAGATAGATTTGGGGTTTGGGAAGGTTAATTACAATTTTCCAAGTAAAAATGGATTTTGAAACTGATGACAGCTCCCCAGTGTGCCTGCAGGAGAGCTGACTGGTTTCTGTTCTCCTTTGTGCATAATGAACAAAATTGCCCACTAGGATGCAGAATTCCTTGTCAGTGACATGTAAAGCAATCAGAGCATAGGAAAGATGTCTAGATCTTGAGCTTCCAGGTGGATTGGAAGAATTTTCATTATTTTAAATAAACTTTAGATGGTTTCTTCTGTATTTAAGCAAAGTAGATACATCATTTTTTTTTAACGTGTTTGGAAGTATAATAAAAAAATTTGTCACTTTACATTTATGTTGAATATAAGAACAGTAGCACTATTTGAATCTCTTTAATTCCATACTTGTACTAGAATTTGATTATTTTTAGTGCTACAACCTTATGTGTAAATTAAATGTCTTTGTCTAAAAAAAAAAAATATTGTATATATTTGGTATCAGAAAGTATCACACAGAGTTCTTTACTCAGTTTTCCAACTATATTTTTAATGGGTATCTGTTGAACACAACATGGTGAACAATTAATTTCTTTACTCCAGAGCAGCCTCCGGGTGACTCTCGGAGAAAAGTAAGTGACTTTTGCAGGCTGTGGTGCTGTGGTTCATTGCATGGAGATTATTCCTTGTGGAAGTTTGATTTTTCTTTTTATCTTAGTTATATACTTCATCTCTGTATTTAGCTCTACAAGTGTGGAAACAGGTTTCACCCTGGAGTGGAGATTTTGGTGTGTGGTTTTCAAACTATATGTGACAAGTCAAAACTTCAGACGTAATCTCTTGGATTTGTATTTGTGTCATCGTCCCCCCTCCCCCCAGTCTCACAAGGGTCTTTTTTTTTTTTTTTTTTTTTTTTTTGAGATGATTTAGATCTGATTCTTCAGAGATGCTAATCTCTTACAACAAGTTTATGGGACTTCTGAAAACTAGGCCCAAAAAATTTTATGCTGGCTATTCAAAACCAGTGTTCCCTTCTGAACACATCGATTCTGATTTCCTTTCTCTTCCCTGTAGAGCAGTCACAAGAGAGGCTCCAACATCAAAACCAAACATCATGTAATTTTCAGTTTGAGGTCACTTTACCTCCTGTTGTCTGGTTGTCCTTGGAGCCAATTCCATGCATGCTTAGAGAGCTTTGCCTCTTAAAAACTAAAATCACTAGCAAACATGGCATGTCTGTTCAAAAATGTACAGCCAAAATGTGGCAGTTGAGAACTTTACCTTGATGCTTTTTGTTCTGTAGGCCCTGATTGCACACTATCTGTTCATAATGAGCAATGCTCATAGAATAACACAACTTATGATAGCATGTATTTGTCTAAATGATTTCCCACCTACCTTCAATATACCATATTGAAACACTTCTGTGTGCAGGTGTTGCTCTAGTTTAAGCTAATTACAAATGTGAATTAAGTATGATTTGATTATAGTAACTGTGTCAGTTCAAGCTGCTTATAATTGATTTTTGTGCCAGTGTCTGTAATTTACTGGCACAAACAATGCTGAAAATCTGAGCTGTATATGGAATGTTTTGTATAAAGTCAAGCAAATTCACACCTTTTTTTAAATTGCTGAGTGTTACACATATGCTGAATTGGAAGCAAATTGAGATTAGCATCTGTTTTGTTTTTGTTAAAGTATTCACTTGGGGTTTGAACACTTTTGCAGTGGTATTGCTGACTCTCGTTTTGATTTTTACATCTAAATAAAAGCTTACTTCTTCCAGCAGGGCTATAGAAAAAGGTAAATAGTCTGGGGAGAGGGACGGGAGGAAAATTTTTGTTGCTCATGCTGAAAGTGAGTGAGGGAATGAGGAGGTGGAGAGTAAGGCAGCAGAACAAAAATTACATTCCCTCTTCCTGACTCGGATGAATGTCATTTGGCAAATGCAGATCCTTGCTAGCATCACATAACTGATTTTCTTATGGCATTTATAACAGTAGTTGCCTTTCAAAGATTAATTTCCTTAAATCTATCTCAAATTAAAATCAGACCAACAAGCTGGAAAGCTACCTCTTAATGAATGTCATGCCATAAAGCTAGTCATATGTGACTTCATTTTGCAGCTGCTTTTGCTTTTGACCATACACCAAAAGTTGTCCTGTGTGAAACCACTGAGGAGCTTTTTTTGCAGTATTTCATAAATGACATTTCAGTTTAACTTTTTTTGTTTTAAACTCTTGTATGATGTTGATAAATTTCTGGTAGAGCTCCTTTTGCATTAACTCTCAGTTATCGGTCACTGCTAACATGAAGAGAGGTGAGTGAAGACCTCTGATGTACTGGAAGACTTTTAAAAAGGGAATTTACAGTATTTTTCCATTACTGTTGAAACAGCCTACACCATTAATAAGATTAAATTTAATTTTTTGCATCTGTTTTGTTGGCTTATGCTATATCTGGAGTGGACTTTAATAAAGCAAACCACTTACATATTGCTCAGTGTTTCACCAGCTGTCATTGCTTCATAATGCTGCTTTATCAGAGCCTCCTGCTTTCATTTCCTTGGTGGTGCCTTTCTGCTTCAGAGGTTTCCATCTGCCTGTGTGTCTCTCCTGGCAATCTTGCTGTTGACAGGACTGTGTGAAATTGCTGGAAGAAGTAATGAATGATACAATTGAGATCAGAGTTGACAGGCATCTTTAACAGAAGTTTGAAATCATGAATGGAATGTTGCTGCCTGTTCTCGGCCAAGGAACAGCACTGTGTAGTGTGCTAGTAGGACTAGACAAAAAGGGTTTGGGATTGCTGAGATCTCAGGGGTTAGCTATCCTGAAACAACGACTGAGCTGCTGTGCTAGAGTTGTTTGAGCTGAAATTACACCATAGCGCTGTTCACAAACCTTAAATTTTGCCTTTTTCCTTAACTGAAAAATATACCTATTTTAAAGGTAGGCAGAGAGAGGTAGAATGTGTGCTGTTCAAAGTCGTTTGAAAAGGTAGAACTTGGGAAGCCTGACTATTAGCTTACTCCCAAAGTATAGTCAGGGACACAAAGGTAATTTACGGCAAATTCACATCTGTGCTCATTGCACTACATTTACCCTGGACTGAGTGTAGAACAGCAAGTTCCTTGTTTTTCAGCTGTCACTGTGTTGTTTCCATCTTTCAGTGATGGAAAAAGAGTATTTGCTGTCACTCTAGGAAAATGCACAAGCATTTTCTGCTTCATGTACCATGAGAAAAGGTCTGATAAAGGGCACTTGCAGTTGGTGAAGAATGAGGTGGAAAAAATGAGCTGGAGTTCCAAATGTCAGGAGGAGTTAATGTGCTGGAAATTTGAGATAACTAAATCTTATCTTAGACACCAAATAAATTTGGTTCCCCATTAGGATGCTCTCCTTGTGACTTTGAAAATTTGAGGGAGTTGGAAGGTGTAATGGAACTTGCAAGAACATTGAAGTTTGTCTTCTGCAAAATCCTGCTTTGAAAGGTTATGTGTATGTAAATAAAGCAGCTTTATGTCAGATGTAGTGAAGAAAAGCTGACAGGCTTGGGAGTGCTGCTTCCCTGTGTGGTGTGTTTTTTGTTTTTTGGTTTTTTTTGTTTTTTTTTCTTCTTCCTGTAAGCACTAATGCTTTGCAGTTAAGTTTTTGCTTTCATTTGGAGCTTCTCTTTTCATGTGTGTCTGATCTTCATATCTTGGGCTAAGTTGATTCATCACTTCTACCATTCAGCTAAGCAGCTTCAGCTGCACTGGTCTCATCACAGATGAGCAGCTGAAAACAAGAAGCCCTAGCATCAGACAGGAATGGTGACTGCCACAATGCAGACAAGTGCTATAAACAAGCTTTCCTTTGATGGCCTTTGCTCAGGCAACAGGATGGTGGCACAGAAGTTTGTAATTAATGGGAGAAAGGTAGTTACTATAAAGCAGTGCTTAAGGTGTCCTGGGGAATTAGTAATTGGCTTTATCCAAATATTTGTAAAGAAATTCTAGCTTACAGTAATTAAGAACCTACCTGTTATGGTTACATGTTTTGAAACACAGATGTCTGGATCTTCTGAAATGAGGCATCTCCTGGATTTCAATTGATAAATAACTATTTAAAATTATTTTAACAGCAATAAAATTCTCTCTTCTATATTCAGTACTGTCATATTATTTTGAGGTGTATGATAATATAAGGAGCAGATGATTTTTTCTAGCATGTGATCTTTACTTCTTTTGACTTGACTTTTTTTTTCCCCCCCCAGACAAATGAGGCGAGCTCCGAGTCGATAGCTTCTTCCCCTAAAAGGGACGCCATGAGCAACTTCCTACCAGACAGCAGCTGTTATGAGTTGCTCACTATTATAGGTAATACTACTAGCAGGCTGGAGGACTGAAAGTCTGTTTTGCAAAAAAAATAAATTCTGCAGATTTGTTGGCCTTTTCTTGATTATTGCTTATTTTTGAATTAAATGCCTGTCCTCTTTGATTTTAAAATCACTTTAATAGAAAATGAGATGCCAGTCCTAAAGGCTTTGAACTGAAAGAGGCATGTGGTGGGTTAATGATACTGAGTGTGAAGTACAAAGTCAGAAGAAGCAGCCTGAAACCTGTCCCTGTCCTTGTTGGGGCTGTGGCCTAATCATTTTATTTCTACCTCAGTTCTGAACTTGAAAGGCAGGATAATATTACTGGCTAGGAGGATTTCTCTTGATGGAATACATGCCAAGGAAGGTGGTATCTGATGGAATGATTACTCTTTTTCACAAGGCCAAAAATAGTTTCAGTAAATGAGCATAAAGATTATTTAAGGGTCAAGGACTGGAGGAGTTCTCCAGAAGTATTGCTGAAGCCTTAATGCCTTTTCTTTCAGGCAGAGGCTTTGAAGACTTGATGGTTGTGAACCTGGCCAGGTATAAACCCACAGGAGAGTACGTCACAGTCAGAAGAGTGAACTTGGAGGCCTGTACAAACGAAATGGTCACGTTCTTGCAGGTAACATGAATCCACTAATACCATAATGCAAGTTTAGGAGAGGACAGACAGCAAGAGCAGTGCTTATCAATACTGTGTTCATATTTCTGCATTTACTAAATTGAATCAAAATATCTTTTTTTTATTTTAGGGGGAACTTCATGTTTCCAAGCTCTTCAACCATCCTAACATTGTGCCATACAAAGCAACTTTCATAGCTGACAATGAGCTATGGGTAGTGACATCTTTCATGGCGTACGGTAGGTGGAGAGGGAATACCTTTGACCGTCATGTTCTGTGAAATGAAATTTAAGAGGTGAAGTATCCTTGGGTTTTTTTCTGACCAGTTAAGAGGTGGTTTGTTTCTTTTTAGGTTCTGCAAAAGATTTAATCTGTACCCATTTTATGGATGGGATGAGTGAACTGGCTATTGCATATATCCTCCAAGGCGTATTGAAAGCACTTGACTACATCCACCATATGGGCTACGTACATAGGTATTTAAAAAAAAAAAAAAAGCGATCCATTTTGCCTCTGTTGGAAGTTCTCAGAAATACTGCTCATCATTAGAATAGAGTAGATGATAATGCGTTCCACATCACTTGAACTAAGTTTTGTATTACTTTGGTGTTAGATCAGGTCAATTTGATACTTATGGGAAATTACATCACTGATCTTACTAAACTGTGTGAAAGTGTCACTGTGGAACAAACTTATCCCAAAGACCACTGTGTATCTAAAATCACAACTGCAGCTCATGTTGACATGCTGACTTGTTAAGGCTCTGTTCAGATACTGTTGATAGCCTCCAAATTGAGGCCGACACTGATGGGGGGGGGCGGGGATTTTCCCTGTTACTGTTGAAGATCCTGGGTCCATAACCTTTAGTCCTGTATTTCTCCTTGCCACAGAAACATTCTTTGAGAACCTGCATAGCAGGTGTGTAGGGTCCTGTTAATGTTTGTAGAGGTGGTTTTGCACAGCATTCAGGATGGTCGTTAGGAATCTCAGCCTCCTGAGTGTTTCCTGAGGCTGATCAAGTATTGTCCTGTGCATTGAGCTGTCAGTAAAGTAGGCTTTTAGCATTTCCATAGGTGCTCACTAAGGATGAATTTCTGTTTAGTACTACAATTTTTCTTAATCTCTTTCTAAATTGCTGTCTCCACCCTTTAGCATATTTGTCCTCTTCTCTGACACATTCCTCTGTTGTGAGAGTAAATTTCAGATGCTGAAAGTTCTAGGTTATTAGTGGTTATTACTTTTATTGTATGTACTGTAAAAGAAATTCAGCTTATCTATGCCTGCCTTAAATCCTTTGTAGTGCCCTTCTGCACTAAGTCTTCCTGGGAAAGCTATAAGGAACATAACTCCTTTGAAGCCAGGGAACCTGACTATTTTTACTTTTTTTTTTAGGAGTGTTAAAGCCAGCCATATCCTGATCTCTGTGGACGGAAAGGTGTACCTCTCTGGCCTGCGAAGTAATCTAAGTATGATCAACCATGGGCAGCGACTCAAAGTTGTTCATGACTTTCCCAAATACAGCATCAAAGTCCTGCCTTGGCTCAGTCCTGAAGTCTTGCAGCAGGTGTGTTTAAAAAAACCTGCTAGTTTTTAGTGATATATGGTATCTCTGTATAACTTTCTGAGTTCTTACGGCATGTTTGGGGGCAGGGCGGGGGGAAACAAAAGAAAAGCCACAGGGTTACTTTTTCTCATGATGAGCTCTATCCTTTTAACCTTAAAACCAGTGACCCCTAGCAAGGGGAAACCTGTATTCCTGTCAAAAAGGGCAACTGCTGAGAAGCCCATGTTACAACATTGTCTTTTCTTTCCCTTCAGAGGAAGGTGTGCGAATGTAAGGAAAAGGAAGGGGGGAGGCTAGAGGAAACAGGTTTGGGACAGGTGCAGGGCAAGTGGGTAGAATTTGATTGGATCTATTTGACTAGTTTTCTTGTAGGTACCTCTACAGAGTCTCCCATTAGCAAAGTGGTACTTAGATGCCAGTTACCCTAAGGTGGATGTCATCTCTACTAGATAGCTGATTTCAGTTAAATAAATGTTGCCCTTAACTGTTTGTTTTAACAAACAAAAAAACCACCACCACAATAAACTAGCCTATATGTGGGTTGTACTGTTTCTGCTCCAATCAATTGGGTTTGCTCTTCTGCATATCAAATCATGGGTATTGCCCATGCAATCACATGTAAGTCCACAAGGCTAATTTTTTCTTTTCCTTTTCATCTAGAATCTCCAGGGTTACGATGCGAAATCTGACATTTACAGCGTAGGGATAACAGCCTGTGAGCTGGCAAATGGACACGTACCATTTAAAGACATGCCTTCTACTCAGGTAAGGTTTAAAGGCTCTTTTCTTATCCTTCATCCTGGCACATGGAACTGCTTTGCTGCACTGGAATGTGAAGACAGAAGAGTGCCATGCTTACCTGAATGGGAAATCTTAACTGTCTAGTCTTACTGTGTGTGATGTTGCTTATGCCCCTTCTCTTCCAGATGCTCTTGGAAAAGCTGAATGGAACTGTTCCCTGCCTGCTAGACACCACCACAATTCCTGCTGATGAGCTGACTATGAAGACCTCCCGTTCAAGTGCTAACTACGGGATGGGCGAGAGCATGGCTATTAGCAACGTGAGAGCAGCCAATGGAGAGCCAACCCTGCACCCTTATCTTCGGACCTTCTCCACTTATTTCCATAACTTTGTAGAGCAGTGCCTCCAGCGGAACCCTGATTTCAGGTAAAGCCAGGTGAAAGTTGCTAGGGCTGATTAAATCATGAGAGCCAGCAGAGGTTGTTTGACATTTTCTTTCCAAAAGCATAGTGGAGTAAGGATGTGCTCCATATATTGAGAAGAGCAGTCCAAGTGTGTAAAACAAGAGCAGTGTTAACACCTTGAGCACTTTCTATAAGAGAGCCTGAAGAATTACTTTGCAGCCTTCTTTGGGGGGTAGAGTGGCACTATATGTCAGGAAAATAAACAGTACAACTTGAATTTCTGGTCCCTGTGAGACAGTTTACCCAGTTTCCATCACTGCGAATGTCTGCTGTTCAGCCAGCAGAGAATAATAAACGGAAATGATCAAGAACTGTATTTTCCTCTGTAGTGAGTGTAAAGTCATCTTTAGCCATGACAAACTGCCCTAGCATATCACACTGTTCAGAAACTCTTCCTTGACCAAATGTTGGGGTGCGCAAGTAGGTAACTTGTGCAGAAGAAGGTTGGACTGCTTGCATAAAACATCATGTGATCATAATATACAGTGCTATTGGTTACAAAAGGGAGATATCCTATAGCTGAGAAATGAGAGAGGCAGGAAGGACCCTGGTCTTTTCTTTCTGTCACTACCTGACTTTAAACACTGATGCATTTTCTTGTGTGCTTACTTTATTCTAACTCCCTTCCACAGGCCAAGCGCAGGCACTCTGCTTAATCATCCCTTTTTCAAGCAGGTAAGGAACTCGGTTAATCTGTGGATAAAGAACAGTGGCTTTTCTGTAGTTGTTGTCTTGCTGTGTCACTGAACCTGAGGGTGGGAATGTTGAGTTGCTGAATTTTCTGTGATCTGAAAGGATTAAGTTAGTTAGGTGACTAACTGTAGTGCAGCTTGGTGATCCTCACATTCTCCTGGGAGGTGGACTTGCCTTTCTCAATGCATCTCTTCCTTATCTAAACAGAGGATGTAAATCTGCCAGTCCTGTATGCCAGTTTTTCACCCACAGACACTATTGAGTACTGGGGCAAGGCAGTCCTTACCTGGTCCTTACTGAGACCAAACTGAGGTGACGTGTGTTGCTTACAGCTCTGTGGCAGGTTGGTGAGCTCCAGCCCTGGCATGGGAAGAGGCAGGGGGTCTCCTGCCCCTGAAATTATTTGTCTGGCTTGCTCTGAGCTGAGGGTTAGGGTGGTGCTTCACTGAGGGGAGCATCAGGACCATAGCATCGAAGTGCTGCTGAAAAGGCTGCACGCAAAGCAGTTTCTCGATACAAGGTGCACTGTGAAAGCTCTGCGCGTCTCGGAGCTGGCAGAAAGGTAATGCCGTGTTCTTACTTTCTGCCTGTAACCACACGTTGTTCTGCTCGTCTGTGATGCGCAACTGGGGAAGCATTTCAGCAGCGGAGTTCTCTTCTTTCTGTGCAGATCAAGCGTCGCGCTTCTGAAGCACTCCCTGAACTCCTGCGCCCTGTCACCCCAATCACCAATTTTGAAGGAACGCGGCCCCAGGATCCCAGTGGCATTTTTGGGCTGGTATCAAACCTGGAGCAGCTGGATGTGGATGACTGGGAATTCTAGAAAAACAGGGACTAGACCTGGTTCTGGAGGAGCTTTCTGCACATTGTAATTTATTGGTCCTATTTGTAAAAAGTGATGAATGTTATGCATAGAAGAGTCTGCAGGTCCTTGGGAAGGAACTTCAGCTGCCTGTTTACTGAAGAAGTAGCCTGGAAACAAATGGACAGACCTGAGCTGGAAAAGGATCAACCCCAAGGAACTGTGGCGTATTCCAGATGGTGCAGTGCCCAGAGCCCCAGTTCTTGCAGCTGAGCACTGGCAGATCACTTGAATGGGTTGAGTGAGTCTGTTTAGTCTCTATTTATGTTTTTCTAAAAATCACTGGCTTCCTTGTATCACAGTTGAAGGCTGCATGTCCCTACCCTCTTTGGTTCTTTCTCTTTTAAGGGTGCCTTAGAGTTAAGGGGAGGCAGGCAGCTTAGTTTTGGGCATTCTCTTAGAGCTAGTCAGATTAGTTACTGTGTTGTCACAGGGTAACTTTTGAAGGTGGGGGGGGAAAAGGGATTATGTTCTTAAATTTAGTCACTGCTTTGTGATGGAAAACGGGAGATCAAAGGCAACCCGATTCCATTCCAGGCACGCTCACTGCATCGGGCACTCCTCTGCAGCACTGGATTCTTCTCTTCCAGTTCTGGAGAGTTTTTGAAGAGACTCCTCTCACTTGATGCTGAGCACTCTGAACTCCAGGTCAGACAGGGCATTCCAGCCTCCCCTCTCATGGCTGCCTGGATCACCAAACCCAGTGTGTATGCCTGTGCAATCTACCAGCTTTTTTATCCCCCACAGCCCATCTAATTGAGCCTCGTGTTAGCTGGGCTGGTTTCACAGCATGTAACTCGTACCAGCGTGTTCTCAGTGACTTGCCCTGGCATGGGGGGAATAGTTGACTTTCATGCTAGATCCTCTTGCTTGTGACTCTTTGAACATCATGTACAGAATTGATTTTAAGCCTTCCATTACTGTTGCTGTTCTGCCTTCCCTGACTGAATGACAGGTAAAAGCTTGCTTCTCCTGTGGCTCCCCTCAATTCATGGCTGTGTGACTCTGCCCTGCTGCTGTGGCAGCTCTCCCCCATTCTGTATTTGTTCTTTGGAGGTGTATTTAAGGCTTTTAGTTTGACCCTTCCAAGGACCATCAGTGCTGGATGTCTTTCTACTCTTTAATGAAGCACTGAGAATCCAGTTCTGTAGGTGTGGTTGATGGGAGTAGTGGTGCTGGCAACAGGTCCTTCTTGTGTTTATAAATTGTACTTGAACCCAGATAAAGTTTGTTACTCTAGTTTTTTGCCAAAACAAATAAAATATTTCTGAAGTTTTTTTTTTAAGTCTGCTGTTTCTGCAAGATGATGGAGTGGGTCATGAATGATGACACAGGCTGGCTGTGCATGCTTACTCTCTTCTCTTTTCCTTACTTAAAAGGCTGCTGCTTGCACCTCAGCTGGCAAGGGCTGGGTGGCATTAGATAGAACACACCTGCTGAAGGCAGTTGCTGTTGAACAGCTCACCACAGCAGCCTGCAGCACTGTTAGTTGCAACTGCCTTCATGTTTGAAAAACTTATTTCAACTAAAGCAAGAAGCTGCAAACAACTGCTCTTGCTCTTTCCTGAAAGTTTCAGTAGAATGCACTCATGCTCCTAGAGCAGGGGTTTGTAAGGGCAGGATACAAGAGATAGACAGGAAGTAGAAGTGGCCCTATCCTAGGATCAGGTTTGGCTCCTGGTTTAATTTTATTATAGTAAGTAGATCTTTATTTCCTAGCTTGTCATGAAGTTCTGCAGCTTGCAAAAATCCTTAACCCTCTCCCACAAGCCTGGACAGGGACTTAGAAAGTCTGCTGGTACTTACTTAGAGCAAGAAAAAGCACAGTACTCAGCATAAAACCTCTGGGACTGAGTTGAGTGATGGTTTGGAGGAGATGGGTTTTGTCACAGAAGAGGGATAATTCAACAGGTGTTGCCCACTGAAGTTCTAAGCCTCTCTCCAATTCTCCTAGGAACAAGGAGGCAGGCAGAAAACACAGGAGGGCATACACTGAGCTGTAATAAATCACAAATAACTGCTGCACTTTAGCCTGCCTTCCCCTGAGTTAGCATTTTTAGGGTGAAGGATGAACTTAACACAAGCTAATATTTCTCATCCCTGTCCATGCTTTCAGCTTGCTACATGCTCAAATATTATGGACATAAATTAACTTGGAGATGATAGTTTTATGCTTACACAGCAACAGGAAGCAAGCAGGATCAGTGCAAAGTTAGAAGTGAAACAGCAGTGCCTTGGTCAAAAAAAGAAGTTATGAAGTAACTGAATGTAGTCTTCAACACCTCCTTCCCCAGGCGCACTGCTGCACTCAGAGGCAACTGTTGTGGTCCTGCTGGCAGCATGGTGGTAGCAGAAGGCTGTACTCAGCCATGACTCTTGAGTCTGACCTTACCTGTTCTGCCTTATGCCTTCACAGGGCAGCAAACAAGGAGTCCGGCACAGTCAGGACACTGTTCTAGTAGCTGCTGGTTGGATACACAATGCCTGGCTACAGCTGCTGGCCCCAAGGCAACCGCTGTGAGCTTTTTTTTTTTTTCTCCCATGAAAGCTTTATTCAGCTAGATACAAAACAGGGTGCTCTGCTATTGTGGATCCTCTGCGTGGTCTGAATGCTGCTGTTCCTCCTCTTCCTCCCCTTTGTGTTTTTCCAATTTTGCCATGAGCTCTGTAAAACAAGAATAGGCAGGATGAGACTCCATGTGCGGGGGCTGTCCTACAGCAAAGCCAGGTGCCCAGGTCCTGTAAACACCCATCTCTGCAAGAACCAGGGCAGCTACCAAAAATCACTTGCCTACACAAAGGCTCAGCTAGGAGCTACCACCATTTGCTGAGTCCAGGGCATCAGATGTTACAGTCATAGAATCCATCAGTGTGTTACTGACCTGCCAACTAGAGCATCAGACAAGCTGCTGCCTCCACTCCCGCAGCACGTCCTCCCTACCCTCACCAGAAGGGTCACACTCCCCTAGTTCCCCATCTGGGCAAGCACAGATGCTCATTTTGCACCTACAGACCCGCCCAGGCCATGATTTAGTATCTCCTGGCACTAAAGGAAGCTCTGCTAGCAGCCAAGAGCTGTGAGCTCCAGCTTAGGGCCAGGCCCAACACCAAGAAGATACCTCAGGAGCTGCTGCCTTTGCTGCTCCAGCCGCTCCCACTGAAAGCCCTCTCTCCCACAGGTGCCCGTTTTACCTTTTGCTGGGTTGAAGACTCCATTGGTTTGCTTGTCACAGACATAGCAGCGCTGGGATTTGCGATAGTGTTGGAGGGCACAACTCTCACAGAAGTAGTGCCTACACCTGTATGGAGACACAGATGCCACTGCAAGTCACCAGATACAATCACTGTGTCCAGGAGTTAGTTAGAAATTACTGACTACTGGTTCCTGGGGGATGCAAAAGTGAGCTGCATGCAGAGTTTCCTCTGCATCACTGTCCTCATGAATGGTGTTTCAGCATCACTTCACTGATGTGGAGCAATGGCACAGAGCCACCAGTGAGCTCTTCCAGACACCAGGTACCCAGCAAGACAGCCAGCACTGTGGGAGAGGGCTGGCAGCGCATGATGTCCATGCTGCCCCTCAGCTTACTCCTCATCCTTGCCAAGCTCTTGGCTTCCCCATGCTTCTGTTTCTTTGCTCACGCAATGCAGCGTGCCATTCAGTGTCCAGGAGGAAGGAAGGATTGAAAACAAAATCTCAAGGTTAAGGGGAAAGATGATGTAATGAGGCAGCGTCTGTGGAAATCTAGAAGGTGCCTGGACAACAAAGGCTTGAGATCCCTTCCAGGGAGATGCTCCAGACGCAGTTATGAGACTCCCTGGTTACCAGAGGATTTCCCCACCCACCAGAAAGCCACAGCAGACAAGAAGCAGGTTCCACCCACAGGCCTGTGGGCAGTGTTTGTATTTGCCTCAACAGTGAATGACTAGTGAACTGGATCGACAGCAGACACTTGGCTCCTCAGGCCAAAAAACCACTTACTTGGTGACCACGGGGTTCTTGAAGGAACTTCTGCAGATGAAGCATTTGAAAGGCATATCCTCCTCATCACTGCTCACCTCATAGTTTTCCTCATCTGCAGAAGAGAAAGTTAACCAGACTGAAGCAAGAGCAGAGGCAGCTAGACCAGCCCATGCGTGGGGCATGAAATATTAAATATGGAGAGAGCACAGCAGGTGGGATTAAATCTTTGCTGCAAACAATAGAGCTCTGGCATCTGGGTGTTGCTGATGTCAGTAACACATGTGGGACTGAGATATAATTAGGTCTAATGAGCCAGCGTGCTTGTTGCTCATCTCACAAGAGCAAATTCTTTTCTACCTCACCCACTCACTGCTATAAAGAGACATATCCTCCAGCCCCCTCCTCTTTCTTAGATTTTCTTCCAAACCAGCTGCCACCAAACTCTGGCTCCAACTGAACAGAGAACACCCTCTTCCCCACAACTGCACAGCAGTTCACGAGCAAAACGCATGAGCCTTGGGCCGCAGCTACGGACACTGTGAGTGAGAAATAATGATGTGACATAGCATGAAAGCATCCCCCCTCCTGGGTATCTGGGGGGCAGGAGATGGTCACAGCTCACTGTTGGGACCCATACAACAGTAGTGCTGTCCTTTTCTAGAGAGCCAGAGGAAATAATTCTCTCTGGTGGCAGTCAGTGGTTATCTGAAAGCAGCAGATTTGCTCAGCACTGTCAGTGGTTACTGGCCCTAAGGTCATCTGGAGCAGGGAGTTCCACAGCTTTGCAATAAAGAGTCCTTTCTGTCTAATATTAATTCAACTCACGGCCCATGCAGTTTGAGACAGCAAAGGATCCATTTCATTCTTAGTGATCCAATATCCCTAAGTCACGTTCACGTTAGGGCACGATAAAAGTCAGGACCTGGTAGCCTCATCCACCGTTAGCTTAGGGACAGGGAGAGCAGAGGGGTGGTGCCGTACCATTGACTCCGTACCGGCCTTCATCCAGTTCCCGTTCGATCTGCCAGCCGTGTTTGTAGTCCGAGCGGTCATGGAGGAATTTGCAGCTGTCTGAGCCAGGCAAAGAAAGAGGAATTAACAGCTAGGCTGTGTGGGGTAGAGTGTTAGCAGGACATGTCATTCAGGGGCAGCCTGAGCTTTGCCCAGCAGAAGGTGAAACCTGATTGCTTCCCGCCTGCCTGTGCTCCAGGGCAGCACCAAGCTCCTGGAGCAGGCACAGGATCCCTCTCGTGGTTGACAGGCCATGAGGATTGTGCTCTGTGTGCCACAGTGACAGTTCCAGCATTTATACACATGAGAAGTGGGATAAGGAACAGTAAATCCCATCCCTCACATGGCCTCAGCGGCCAGAATACCTGTGGAAATGTGGGTCACAGGAACATCCCAGGGGTCCCTCCCAGGACTCTTATAACCACTGATTAGAGGCCATCAGCTTTCAGGAGGGCCGACACAAATGACAAGAACATTGCATAAAACAACTTTGCAACAGCACCACACACCAACTCTGCAAACAAGTGCCCATCTCAGCACCACAAAAAAGGGATCACAAGCTGGACTGGATCCCTTTGCAGATCTGGCACAGTATCTGTTCACCTGCAGGCAAGATCCACTCACCTCCAAAGCCGCAGAACCCAGTTTCTTTGTAGTCCTTGCAGATATCAGGCTGGTAGTCCCATCGCACCGTGGCCCGCAAGTGCTCCGGAGCACGGATGGGTCCTTTTCTGAAAGGGTGGGAGAAGGCTCAGGCTGGCTGCTCAGCTGCAGTGGAGAAGGCCCCTGGGGGCCTGGTCAGAACCAGACACCAGACTCGTTAGACAGAAAGAAGCTGGCAGTAACAGCGAAGTTCAAGCCCCAAACAGGTGCCTTTGGGGATGGTGCCTGAGCTCCATTGTGGTCCCAGTCCTCTGAGGCTTATCCCAACCCACCTGACCATTCCTGAAGAGGCATTTCCCATCGATGTGTCCTTGGGCTTCACATACTTCTGATAGTTGTTAATACCACGGTAAATTTTATCATCTTCCTTTCCTCTCAGCTCCTAGGAAAGCAAAAAGAAAGGTGATTAAGGATCAAGGAAGTTTCATGACGCCTATTAGCTTTCACCACTCTGACACCAGTCTCCTTTCCCAGCCCCGTCTTCCTTAATACCAAGATGCCGATAAAGCCAGAAAATTCTGCTATTTGCAAGGGTTACACTCTTGGCTTCTCAAATTTCCAGGGAGGAAGAGGCTCAAACTCTTCTTGGTGTGCAGAAGGGGATGAGTAAACCACATGTACTCCTGCTATGGAGCACTACCTCTTACAGAGCAAAGCTGACTCACCTCCTGGATTTTCTGGCTGCGCTCAAAGATGGCCTGGGCATCTTTCTCCTTCTCCGTGTCCAGTTCATATACTGCTGTGGCTCCCATGTCTTCTGGGCCAACAGGTTTCTGAAAAGCAAGAAAAACTTGTGACAACAGTGAAGAGAAAACCTGTACAAGACAGAGAGCTCATTGGCTACCTGAAGGGCTGGTCACAGAGCAAGTATTGCACATGGCCTGCTTTACCTGCCACCAGTTTCTACTGTCCCTTAGCACCTGCCAGGGAGAATCCCCCATGGGCCGGATCCAGCCTAGTGCTTGCAGAGGCCAGAGTGCTAATTACCCATTGCTCTCAAGTTTTAGCCTGCAGAGTCAGGAAACACTTGTCCTTACTTTACTCCTTCACGCTCAGGGCTCAGCTTAGCTGGAAGCTGAACTCAGATCTCCCATGTCCAACACTTCAATCATGAGACCATCCCGCCTACACGCAGGATGTTATGTCTGAACTTTTAACCTAGATGCCGGTGGCTTACATTCAGTTTTAATACAGTGATCTGGTTTAGATTCCTCTTTAATGGACTGAACAGACACCTATTCCTAGGTTTTATCAGATCTTCAGGAACAGCTGCACAGAAACCAAAGAATAATTACAGCCAGCCTCAATTAAAACCAAATCCATAATGTGACAAGGAGACCTCAGTGTGACCCTGCAGCTTTAACTGGGGACAGTTAGGCTCTATTCCCATTTTTTACAGCGGTGCAGACAATAAAGAAATAGGTCTGAAGACGAACATGTGTTGATACCTGCTTTTAATCCTACTTATATCCTGCCCAGGCTCATCCTAATGGGCACAACTTCACTGGATCAGGAGGAAAATAAAGAGAAAAAAACTAGTAGGGAGAGCAATTTGAGCCGTGCCCAAACCTTCACAGCTGATCTCTCTGCACTCCAGATGTTAACAGGACACCCAGGACACCCCAGCCAGCAATCCCAAGAATACAATGACCTCTCTCTGTAGCTCTTACTCCATCACTAGTCACAAGGATAAAGATGGGAGCACCTTCTACGTCACCTTGAATTCTTTGTGAAGGAAGATGGTCTAAAACTGAAAACATGAACCAAACAGCAGAGCAAACCTGATTCAAGTGCTCCCTCTCCTGAAAATTTTGTGTGATGTTGGGCAAGTCCAGTGGCATCTTGGGGTTTTAATTCCCAGCTCTAAGAAGGAAAGGCCAACCTTAGACAGCCTCCTGGGGATGCAGAGGCTATCAGGAGAATAAATGCAGCGCAAGGTGCTTGTCTATGAAGAGGGAAGGGACAGGGAACTGTATCTATAGATAAAAAAGAAGGAATGGCCAATCCCACATTCAACAGAGGCAAATTCTCTCTATCAAGTGTGAGATCTGCCAGTCCCACCTGACCTCACACCCCAGAACCACATTCTTGCCCAGTCCTTACCGCCGACCTTGTTGATTTGTAAGTGACTCCTATCTCCTTTGATGGATCCTCATCGTCGCTGCTGCTCAGCGCGTAGGCAGGCCTCTCCTTTGCACACCTCCTGGTCTGAGGGGCAAGAAGACAACAGGTAGGAAGGACAGAAGACTCCAACACTGCATCTAACTGGAGCTTGGCAGGCCACTGAGATGCACCTCGGATGGAGCAGTGCCCTGCTATGGCTCCCTTACCTTCTGGATCATGGGGTTGGGGGTCTCCCGCCGCCGCTCCTTCCGCACCACCGTGCTGCCCTCCTCACCGCTGCTCTCTGAGAGGTAAAGCCCAGGGGTAAGTGTGCACCCGGGGGCAGGACCTCGGCCCAAGCGCAGGCTCTGCTGGCAGCCTCCCTCCTCTGCGGGCTGGGGAAGCCCACGGGAAGGTGCAGGAGGCCGGCGGAGCCCCCGAGGGCGGTGGCACGGCCGGGGAAGAGCCCTTCACCCCCTCCACCACACGGACATCGGTACGGCTGGGGAGGGCAGCGAGCCCCCTCCGTGTGGGGGCAGCGCTCCGGGGTGGCACCAGGCCCTCCTTCGCCTCCCCAGGGTATCGCAACGGCCCGGCTCCCAGCGCCCTTTCAAGGTCTTCCGCGAGCCCCCGCCAAGCCCTCACCCTGCTCCTGATCGCTGCTGGGCCGCTTACGCCGACCCCTACCCGCCGCCAGGCCCCGCTTCTTGAAAACGAAGCTGCAAACAGTCCCCTCGTCCGCCATCTTGCACCGCCCACCCCCTGCCGTCGGCGGCTAGAGCGGCGCCGGACGCTGCCCCCCCCGCGCGGCGCAGCGCCCCCTGCGGGCGAGGAGGACTAGGGAGGGGGCGCCCGAGAGGAGGGGCGG